TGGTTTTGCAGCACAAAATGGAGATGAATTGAGCATCTCTGTTACACAAGCCCCGTGGTGCTGGTGCCAAACGCCTCCCTCGGCTCAGATCCGCAGGGATGTCCCAGGCCAGCCTCTCCTCAATCCCAATTCGTTCCGGGAGCTCCTGCCCATGCCTCCCTTTGTCTGCTCCGCTCACAGGGCTGCTGGAGGAAGCTTGAACAATTCACTGCCGTGGCAGTGTCAAGCTGTCAACATGACCACAAGCCCACTCTGGCTGTGAAAGGGCTGAGCTGCACAAGAGCCTCTGCACCGCCCAGGGGCTTGTCAGGAGCCCCAAACCCAGCAATTGCTGGGCAGAAAACCACTGATCAGCACTGGGGACTCAAAAAACCTGAGACAGACTGGCAGGAAGAGAGAACACTCCAAAGATTCCTGCAAAAGAAAGTAAAAAGCATCTGAGCTCCAGCCACTGAGAGATTCAAGAACTGGAATGTCTACAAAGTTTGGTTTAGCTACTTAAACGTAACAAAAAGTTTGAATTAAGCTGTGTTCTGCCTGGGAAGGGAATGCCAGCTCAGCTCAGGGAACATTCAGCTGCTGGGGCTGAAGGAGCTTCACAAGAAGCCAGCCCTGGTGTGAGGCTGCCCGGAGGAGCTGGGCAGGGACAGCACCCAGAGCTGCTGCAGGGACAGGAGCAGGACACCCAGACACCCTGAAAACACCCAAATGCCACCACCACAGCAAGGGCACACAGGAACTAAAAGCATTACAGACAGCAAACTAGGAGAGGATTCTCCCTCTTTTATTTTCAGGGTTTTTCTCCCTTTTGGAGAAGAGCAGGAAAGTAATTTCCTTACACAAGATGTTTTAATTCACATTTTCCTTCTGACATCTCCTTCACAGGCCCACCAAAACAACCCGGGGAAAAGGTCAGACACAGCTATACATTAAGCAGCAAGGAAAAACAAGGCACATCCCACGCCGAGGACACGCTAATGGCCCTTTGGAGTCAACACTTCCCTAATTCACTTTTTAAGACTTTCAGTTGCAAATTTTTTATTCAGCTTTCACAGCACAAATAGCCACAAGGAAGCTACCCAAAGCCCCAACTCGCCAAGTCAGGATTATTTGATACGAAGGTCACTTCCTCCATCCCCAAACAACTCCTTCAAACCCTCTAAAAGACAGAAGGAAAAAGGACAAGGAATACTTGTATCGATTTTAGGATATGAGATGCAGGTCAAACACTGAGTGCACAGAAATAATTCCCACTTCTGGAGGAATATAAAAGCACTAAACACTCAGAAATGCCCTGTGCTGGCATCTGTGGGGTGCACCAGTTAATTTATGAGGACAGATTAATGTGCCCACAGACCCTCCAGCGTTAAGGCAATTCTGACCTCTCCAGGTTGGCTGCCAATGTGATATAGGTCCAAAAGAAATCACCCTGTTCTGCTGTGAAAGAACAATAAACCGGCTTCCTCGAATACAGTGGTTAAAGAATCCAAGTTCCTGACCTTGAATGTTTCCCTAGTAGGATGCTGTGCTGTAGGGAACAATCAGGATGACATTTGCTGAAATGTGTGGGATTTATGACATAATAGGTTGCACATATGTGCCAAAAGAGAAAAAAAACCTCTTAAATCCAAGCAAATCAAGATTAATTAGCTATTAAAATAGCGAGGAGAACACAGTGCAGTACAGGTGGTACAACAAAGCAGCTCCCTCTCCCTGCACAGTCACTCCAGTTGTTTTTGGGGTCACGCCGTCCGTGGATCTGCGAGCGCACTCTCACTGGGAAAAGCAAAAATTGCTTCTCCTCTGTCAGCTCCTGCTCTCTGCAATTCTCCACGTTTGCACTTTCACAAACAAACCTCACGCAGCCCTTTTATAGGAAGTCCCCCTAAGTGCAGAGGAAAATGCCCTTTTGCCTGGCTTTGATCACTGAGAGCGAGCTCGGCTGTTTGCACAGCGCTGCTGCTCGTGCTGAGCAGAGGCCACACTGCTCACACCCACCTCCCCACTGCAGCACATCCCCTTCCTCCAGCCCGGTGCCTTTTTGTTTCCTGGCTGCTAATTGCAATTACAGGTGTCCCAAAGCCCTGCCAGACCCCCACGCTGCAATGCCAGCGCAGTGCTGTGCCCAGCAGCACACAAAGCAAACACTGCCCACCAGGAGCCACAGCAGCCCCGCTCCTCTGCCCCTTCCCACCGCCCAGCAATGCCACAAGCTGTTCATGCCCTGAAATCTGCTCCCTTTCCCTCCTAATCCCGGGTTTAAGCACGGCTGTGCTGGCAGGAGATCCCATCGATGTCCATGAACATGGACATTATTACTGAGCACACTGACCCAGTGGAGAGGCACGGACCAGCTGCCACAGGGCCACGTGGGCACCGAACACTGGAACTTGGGCAAGAGGACATCCCTCCTCCCCAGGCTTTTGGAAGCCTCCTTTAACACTTAACTCTTTTCACTCAGCTGTTTCCAGGACATTTGAGCTGTTTGTGGAAGACTCCACATCCTCTGCCACTTCTCTGGAGAGGGGAGAAGCTCCTGGATCTGCTCTGGTGGTACCAGGGCTCCCTGAGCAAACTGTGACTTGCCTTACCCAGCAAAAGGGGCTGCTCAGCACAAACCCCCCACGTGAACACCCAGATCCCAGCTCAGAACACTGACAGGCACACATCAGCAGGGAAAAGCTTTGAATTCTCCCCAAAACTCACTTCTGCAACACTTTGCTGCTTAGGGAATGATGGAAGGGACACAGCAAATCCAACAGCCCTCCATCACAGCGGGACTGGCAGAACACACGTTCAGGGCTTTCCATCTTCCAAAAATACCCCTAAAAGTGAGGGCAGACTCCTCCTTGCCCAGTGTGGCAGGGCAGAGCAGGGGCAGAACCTCATCCCGGGTCACAACTTCAACGTCGTTACTCCAGCACTGACGGACGGATTAATTGGAGACAGCTGCAAGGAGAACTCTCCTAACGACATGATTCATTAGTTTTCATAGATAATTACATCTGCTCATGGCCTCACACTGAATCATTCATTTAGGGAATTTTTCGGGCATTAAATTTAAATGCAGTAATCAGATTTGTTAATCCGTGGGACAAGGCAAACCAAACACAATTTTATTCAGGGGATTGTTTATACTTTCAACATTGACATGAATTCAGCAGCAGGAAAAAATTAGCAGCATAATGTATGCTCACGAAGGTTAGAAATTATTAATGGTAATCTCCCTCACTGGCCCAGTGCTGGTGACCACACTGGGCAGATTTCTTCCTTCTTCTGCACTGCAGGTTCCTTCCCTGGATGCATCTCAGTGCCTCACACAACCCAGTGGCTTTCTCAGAATACACCAACATTTTCTGATGATTTTTTGATAATAAGGTCTTTCCATAGAATGAAAGAATGAAAATAATTGATACTTGGGTTTGCCACTCTCTAGATTCAAAATACAGCTGCTTTTTCATTGTTGGCGTATTATACATTAAACAATCAGTTTCAAACATGGCTTAGCTGGTTTTATTACTCTGAAATAGCAGCACATATTCACAGATAGAAACCTCAGAAAGATCTGCCGATCCAGGCCAGTTCCCTCCCTATCAAGTCACAAACTTTTTACAAATCTGAACTCCACTTTAAAAACTGATCATTTTCTGCCCATTTTTTCTGGAAGCGCCTTTGGAATTTTTCATCTCTCAGTTAAAAAAGAAGAAAAAACCTAATTTTCTCATCTGTACTATTTATGGTCAATTCATTTTCATTTTTTCTTGAACCAATATCCTTCTTCAGCTTCAGCAGCCTTCTCCCTCCCCAATATTTTGCTGCCAAAACACGAACAGAAAGCAAATCTGCAATCCATCCCCAGCTGGCTGGACTGCACAGCCCAGCCATCAGAGCCCTGTCTGTGCTTTCCCACTGACCTCCACAGCCCTCACTTCTTCTCTGGACCTTCTTCTCCTCAAGTCATTCTTCTGAAACAAGGAGCAGAAAGTTCAGAGCATTTTCCCCAAAGCTGTGTCCAGGTGCAGCGGCTTGTCTTGGCCCCGTGGCACAAGTGTCACCTGCTCCACCTCATTTTTCTCTCCCCATCAAAGCAGCAAAGTTCTGCTCGGGTTTGGGATGAGCTCAGGCCATGGCTGCAGCTCAGTGATCAAGAGCAAACTCAAAGCTTCATCCTCCAACATTCCACCCTCATCACACCATGCCCTGAACCACGCTGGAGAAAACACGGAGGATCTGGCAGGAGGAATCTCAGGGCACATCAAAGATCCCACAGCTCTCAGAGAAAGGCAGCTCAGGCTCCCCAGCACCATCCCTGGGTGAAATACCTTTTTGGGGGGCTAGAAACAAAGGGCAAGGTGGAGAACCCTGCCCAAAAGCACCCAGGGAGTCCTTGGGTGTGGGAATCCAGGGCTTCCCTCTGGCTGCCCTGGCAGGTCTGGGACCCTGGCAGGGGTCAGGAACCCCCCTGGACAGAGCCCCCAGAGACACTGGCTGTGATCTCTGTCCATGGAGAGGAGTTTTCAATCTTACAGGATCAATTACAAGCTTTGAGTGTTTGATAAGAGTAATAATTAAGTGTGACACGGGTGCAAAGGTAAAATTTTAGGATTCTAGATTAGGGGTTCAGAGGGGAAAAGATGGAGGAAATTGGGTGTGTCTTGTCCTTCTTCTCCTTCTTCATGCCCTCCATGTTTCACTGTGGTGTTGGCATTTTTCTGTTGGTTCAGGCTGGGGACACACTGTCCAACGTAGGTGACAGATATTGGCACGTTATTGTAAATCCAGCACAGGTAGTTTCTGGTATATAATGTTTGTACCATCCCACTGAGGGCAGAGCCCCACACGCTGCCCTGCAGGACAGAGCTGCGGCAGGGCAGCAGAACATGTTAGAGATAAACAGAATAAACAACCTTGAAACCAGCACAGACGAATTATGGCTTCTGCTTTGGCAGCGGGGCTGACAGACAGAGACTTTCTACAATCTCGGGATCATCAATACTCACAGATTCCGACACTTGGGCAAGCCAGGAACGCAACCAGCAGACCAGAGCTGCTCCTGGGGGTGTACAGGAGCAGCACCTTCCACAGCACAGCTTGGGCTCCTCTCGATTCCATGCTGCTGCTGAGAACCTGACATTAACGTGCAACTGGAGATCTCCTCCCCTGCTGAAGCTGCACCTCCACAGTCGTATTTATTCCTGTTGAGGTTTGGGGAGACGGGGGATTGCTCCATGGAAGCTGGAACAAATTAATATCGCCCTGAGAGTTATTATTTTAAGAGAAAGCAGCAGCAGGAGCACAAAGGTAAGCCAACAGCTTCTATTTTCTTTTAGTGAGGCGTCTGACAACACACAGTATATTTAGCCAGGATCCATCCCAAAGGGCACAGGGTGATAAGCTCCTCATGAGGCTGTTCCTGGACAGCATCCCAAGCCCTGCAGTCACATCCCCATTCCTGCAATACCTCCAAGCCTCACCCCCTCTCCCAGCCCTGACTCCCAGAGAGACCCTGCCAGGAGCAGCACCGACACACTCCTGTCTCTGCACCACTTGTTTGTGTAACTGGAGACCTGTCAGGCCCTCTCTGCCTGATTTAAGCTCTGCCAGTGTCAGGAGGAAAACAAAGAACAAAGATGCTGAGCTATCCATCATCCCAGCACGCCCATGGGGAGTAGCTGGAGGAACTGGCCAGCCCAGGGCAGCCTCCCTTCCTGCACACAGCAGAACCCCCAGAGAGGAGCTCACCCTGCTGCTGCCTGGAGAGGCTGGGCAGGGGGAAAGAATAAAGCAGGGATTTATCAAAAGGCCTCAAAGGACACACCTTGGGCAGCACAAGAGCCCAGCCAGGGCTGCACCCAGGATGGACCCAAGGTGGACTCAGAGCCATGAGTTGTCACACTTTGATGAGTTCTGGGCCCACTATTAGTAAAAAGTTTGTGACTTGATAGGGACGGGACTGGCCTGGATCTGCAGATCTTTCTGAGGTTTCTATCTGTGAATATGAGCTGCTATTTCAGAGTAATAAAACCAAAAGCAACTTGAAAATAAAACATAGCCCTTGTTTGAAAAGCAAGGAGGAAAGCAGTGCCCTCTTTTTTACAAAGGACAAAATGTACCTTTGCATTGCTAACTCTCCCTTTTCAATGTTTTGTGGTTTATTTTTTCCCTGTGCTTCTCTCCCACGTGGAAGGGATGAGGAAGCAGTGGGGAGGGTGGTGCTGAGGACAGTTTAAGTGTGCAGGAACCGGCTGTTCACCCTCAGCACTGCACTTGTGCTCCAGAGGGATCACCCCGAGCCCATGCTCCTTCCTCCAGCAGACCTTCATGAATTCCAGCTGGAGACTCCTTTTCCTTCCCCCAGGGCCAAAGGGAAACTCACTGATATTTTTCATGTTTAGGATGTGGGGAAGGACATGCAGGAACACTGAAATATGTTAAATTGCTGAATTTCTCTTCCCCTCAGTCCTCCCCCTTTTTTTCCCAGCAGAAGGGACTCTTCCAAGCCCTAGAACAGACCAGAAGAGCAGAGTGCATGGAACAGCACCACCAAACCATGGACCAAATCCTCTGAGCACCGCACAGGAGACACCACAGGCTCACAGCAGCCACCAGCAGCTCGACTCCCAGCCCCCAGCTGGTGTTAAAACCAGTTTTGATTTGGGGCACATCCTCTGCAGGAGGGAGCACAAAGCCATGGCCCTGTGGCACTGGGGACAGCTTTGGCTGTGTCAGCAGCTCCTCAGTTCACAGCTTTGGGCAGGAAGAGCTGCTGCCAGCAATGACACATTTTACCCAGGATCTCCTGAGCAAAGCTGAATTTGGGGAATTCAGTGTTTATCACCATTGCTTTGATCCAGGAACACCAGAGGATGTGATGGGAGCTTCAGTGGAGCAGCCATGGCCAGCCCAGGGACACTTGGGCAGGAGCAGAGCCGTGGCTGTGGCTGATTTTCACACAATAATTGCTGGTGAGAACTTCTGGAGAGCTTCCCCCTTTCAAACACCAAACCCCTCACCGAAGCCAGCAGTGCCAGTCCGTTTATGGAATGTTTTTATCCCAAGATGAGGGATAGGGGTTTGGCTGTTTGTGCTTGGCAGTGTCTGTACATTTGGATGATTTAGGCAGACAACATCTGCTGCCTTTAGTGCCCAGCTGCTCTATTTAATCCCTGTTAAAACTGGTTTTCCCCTTCCAATTTCTTTAAACATTACTGGGAGCCTTGTTTAAAACACATCCCTTATAAAGGCTCCTGGCAACTCTGAAATGAGAGTTTTCCTTAATCTTCCTGCTAACTTCAGGGGATAAACTGTTCAGCTGTCACCGTGTCACTCTGTGGGTGATGTTAATGAGCTGGAGGAGAAGCCAGGCCACAGAAACCCCAAAATCCCACTCCACTTCCCTCTGCCCTCACTCAAACAAGGAACCTTGAGGACTCTGACAGAGCAGGAGTCCCCAGGTCCTGCAGAAGAGCCAAGCACTGTCCAGCAAACACTGACTGAGATCTGCTCAATGAGGTCCTCTTCACCAGGTAATGGTACCGAGCGTGCAGCAGGACCTGGCCAGCAGGAGAAGGTTCCTGGGCATTTTGTGCCCCTCCCCAGCACCTGCCCAGAGAGAAAATCACTTGCAGGTGCTCAGGGAGCTTCAGCAGCAGCAGGAGACACCGAGGGTGAAGGCTGGCCCTGGAGCAGAAGGGAGGAATAGTCTGATTTTACCCTCAAAGCCTCAGCCTTCCCTCTCCTAGCTGTGGTCTCCAGCTATGGAATTCATTCTCCTTGCACTGAGAGCACAGCAGCACATCAGCACCAGCAAAACTCCCACTGTAACACAGATCGGGTGGGGCTCTCCCCAGCAATGAACTCACAGCAGCTCAAGCAGGGGGAAGAACCACACTGCAGCCCCAATTTAAGCCTGAACACCCCAAAAATGACCCCTAAAATGTGATTAGTGACATGGAACAGCTGGAAAAGCCAGCACTGACCCCAGCTGCCACCCAGAAAAGCATCATCCAGCCCCCAAAGTCAGAACTCTGGTAATTCAGCCCATGAATGTGTGCCATGCTGAGTCTCCCCCACCCCAAGCTGGTGCTCTGAGGCACCTTGGACCTCATAATAATTTCCAAGTGCAAATCCCTTTTTCTAGTGAGCATGTATGAGGCAGCCCATGCCCTAAGCTCAAGCAGAAGGAAGCTTTCCTCCCAGCTTATCTGATTTTCTATTCATTGCAAATGCCACCTTTTGGAAGGCCACTTCAGAGCTCAATTCCCACTGCTCATTTTCCTTGGCAAGAGCCCAGGTTCTCTGTGAGCACAGGCTGGGAGCCCAGCTCAGCAAAGTGACACCCACAGCCTGTGCACTGGGGAACACAGGCACGGGGAAACCTCCACATTCCAAAATAAGGGCAGGTGGCAGAGTTATTCATGGCAGATCCCAGGGATGCAGGGGTTTGGGAGGCAAGGAGCATCACAACCAAGAGATGCCCTCCCAGTCCCCTCCTGCCTGGCATGGTCCCTCCCTGTCCCACACTGACTGTCCCAATGGGCACCTCCAGCCCCCAAACCAGGAACAAGGAAAGGTCCTGCTCACCCCTGCACAGCTCGAGCCGGGGAATATCACCTGGAGAAAAGGAGGCAGACAAAGAAACACATCTCTGCTGGAGCAGAGCTGGAGATTCCCAGCCAAGTCCTGATGGATTTTTCCTCAAGCCAAGGAATCACACCAGCCCCCTCCACCACTAGCTGTCCATGCTACAGCAGAGATAACAGAGCTCTGCAATATCATTACCATCATTACAAGAGTGTTAACACAGTAAAATTAACAATTTCTATGTTTCTTGCCCAAATCACCGTTTCCCACCCTAACTCCCTCACACAAAATGACAAACATGACAAAGCCCATAACAACCAACCAGTAAGAACTAAAAATCTTCCTCTGCACCCTGAAGTGCTTCTCTCCCCAACGAAGAAGGAGAAGCTGGATGCTGATCCCTCTTCCCAGTGCTGCTGCAGGGCACCACATCCCTGATGTGACAGACCTGCTGACACAGATCTGGGCTTTGTCCCTGGGTCTGCGCTGCCTCGTGCTGCTGCTCCCTCTAGATCCTACAAACACAAAGCTCAGGGTTATTCACAACAAACATTTGGGCACTTCATACCACATGTTATCTTATTTTTACCTATGGTTTGCCCAAACCCAACCTTCCGAAATCCTGGCAGGACTGGGAGCCAAATCCTTTTGGCATTTGTGCTCACACCTGGAGGAGCAGGCTCAGGTGAGCAGCCGTGGGGAACCCTGGGGTCCCTGCTCCCAGTCCAGGGTCTGCTCCAAACTGGGAACCCTGGGGTCCCTGCTCCCAGTCCAGGGTCTGCTCCAAACTGGGAACCCTGGGGTGCCCTGCTCCAAACTGGGAACTGTGGCCTCAGTATCTCAGAGCCCAATCCATCACCTTTTATCACAAAGGTATCGCTCAAATTCCTTCCCTGAGCTTGGAAAAAGGCTGTTAGGCACACATGTTTCAGACTAAAGGCTGGCCCCAAACCAGCATTTTTCAGCAAACTTGGTCCTGTAAGAGAATTTCCAACAAAATTGTGAGATCAAACAGCCCTGGAGCTGTTTCAGCATAACGATGCACACAGCCAAAAGCCAGATTTGATTGTGCCCCTGCACTTTGATGCCAGACACTTCATGTCATGGGATCTCGTGTACCTTGTGTGATTTATTCCCTTCATGCTGAAGCGTTCCTTGTAAAACTGCTGGGAGAAAGGAAAGTGGAATTTTGTCTGCTTCCACATCCAAGACTTGTACTACTGTTGTGCTGCAGGATTATTCCAGTTACTGATGTCTGGAAAGAGCAGTTCAGTGGGAACAACAAGTACATCCCAGTCCCTCCCAGAGCTCCCTGGGATCACAGGAGAGGTCTGGAGCCAGGCAGGGGTTGGCACAATACTTGGCATAAACAGGATAATGCCCACACCAGCTTGGTTTGGGATGCACAGGAATGAAAAAACTCATTTAACACATCAGCAATTCAGACTAAAGGGTTACACTCAAGCTTGCAGGGAAGTTAATTTATACTAAGAGGTACAGTATAATGATTTTATCAGTTTTTAAGTGATAGAGGGATGCTCTAAGACACCAGCTTCACCATTTTAACAGAACGCCACCTTTATGTCACATTAGTTTTGTTTCTGACTGAAACACAGCTCTGAGGAAGCAACTGCTCCCAGCTTTCCCTCTGCCCTCCAAGCTGCCCCTGGCACTGAACAGAAAAATCTGACACAGCACAGGCCAAAACCCCTCTGTGAAAAATCAGCTCCCACCAACACTGCGGGCACAGCCTGGCACCTCAACTTTCCCTGAACTTAACACTTAAAAATTACATGGCAAAGCCCCAGTGCTGCACCTGTGACTGGGTTCTGCTGCCCCACCCCGAGCCCAGACCCTGGGAGGAACAAGCTGGAATTGTGAGCGTGCTGGGCAGCAGAACTGAACTGCTGCACCCCGGGGATTTGGGGCACTGCCAGTCGGTGCAGCCTCTGCAGAGGGCTGCCAGAGGAGCAATTTATTCTGCTGAGGAGAACAGGAGGGATGGGAGAGGGGCTGGGAGGAGGGATGAGCTGGCCACGCTCCTGGAGGTAATGGGAAAAGCAGGGAATGCGCTGCAGAGCCTGAGCTCGGGCTGAGGGAGCCCAGTTCAAAGCACTCCTCAGATTCCAGCAATACCTCAGGAGCACAACGTGCCCAGAAACGTGGTTTCCTCCTCCTCTCCCGTGCTGTATCCCTGCAGCTCCCAGTCCTCCAGGTTTTCTGGGAAATCCATCAAAAGCCCATCAGTGCCCAGCAGCCCTGACCGAAATCACCGTGACACGGGAGCATCTGGTTCCCAGCAAGCAGGATCCTCCAAAGCCTGGAGATCACCTCCTCCTCA